AAGGCTCAATGAAAGATTCCTAGGAGGTGTTGCTCTTAAGGGGGCCACATGGGAGCAGATTATTTTGAACATATAAAGCACCACAGAGGCAATTATTCTGTGCCTAGAATCTGGTAAGAGAAAGAAAATTATTACTTTGGCAGGCAGAAGGTATGTTCTTTTTTACATATGGTCTATCATTTTTTTCATTTTTGTGGAAGAGAGCCTTTAGAAGCAGATTTTTAAAACCTTCTATTTTGAGGTTTCTTCAACAAGAAATGTACCTATAATTGACTCCGATGCTTCTATTTCTCATTTAATGTGAAGCTTCCGCATTAACTACTTCTCCCTGTTTACAGGTTGTTCCTTTAGAAGATACTTTGGGCCCACATTTTTTTTTTATCAGGTAGTCGAATGATGAGTACAGCTTGTTATAGCTTTGCTAAGTAGCAGAGGCAATGGGAAGCAGTCTGGCTCCTGAAAAGAAAAACAAAAAACAACTATTTGTTTGAATGATACGGTTGTATACAGTAAAATGTCCAAAGCCAAGAAATCTCACGAACACATCCTTTCAGCAACTGTTAGAAACTCAAGCTGATGACTGGGAACTGTTTCTAAGGCATCTGAATCACTACTAGCCAGAACTTCTGTTCCTTTCAGCTTTAACTTCAGAGTATTGCTCTGATCTTTGTGTTTCCTGGAAAAGATCTAAAGAAAAGAGAAACTCATAGTGTCATAGTACTATAGTGCTGCTTATCAGTGCTAGGCAATGGATTGTTGAGAGGCTAAAGTGAAAGTTAGGAACAAACAAGGCAAACAGATTCATGGACACAGACAACAGTTTTGTGGTTACCAGAAGGAAAGGGAGGAGGGGTGGGTGGTAGATAAGGGTAAAGAGGGTCAAGTATAGGGTAAAGGAAGAAAATTTAACTTTGTATAGTGAATACATATATTATTGAAACCTATTTTTTTTAGGCGAGGCAACCCTTCGTTGACCTCACAGATTGCAAGGACCTTGTCAGCTTACAATCCCTTATTTTTTATTTTTTATGCCTACAGCACCTGATCTTCTAGGTGGTTTCCCATCCAAGTACTAACCAGGCCTGACCCTGCTTAGCTTCCGAGATCAGACGGGATTGAGCTTGTTCAGGGTGGCATGGCCGCAGACTTGAAACCTATAATTTCATTATCCAATACCACTTCAATAAACTTAATAGAAATAAATAAATAAGTTGCCTCAAAAAATTGTAAAAAATAAAGTGAAAGCTGAGGATTAGTAATGCATTTCACTTTCTATTTCCCCTTCCATTTATTCTAATTCAATCGACTCTTAAAATTATGGAGCTTTATTCCTAAATTTATGATTGGATTTGAGAATTGTAATCACACATGCAAAGCTTTTTTAGGACACATTTTGTAATTCATGTATTTAACTTTATCACACATTTTGTAATTCATGTATTTAGCTTTATCTGGAAAACTGCAACTGATTAATAGCATAAGATGGGCTCTTATAAGTTGTGTTCCCCTTGCAAAAAAATGGTATTGGATTCTAAACTCTAGTACCTCACAGAAGGTGACCTTATTTGGAAATTGGGTCATTATAGATGTAATTAGTTACAATGAAGTCATTAGGGTGGGCTCTAATCCAATATGACTGGCTTCCTTATAAAAAGAGAAAATTTGAACAAAGAGACATACATACAGAGGAAAGATGTGAACAGACACAAGAGAAAGACCAGAGGCCTGGAATAGATCTTCCCTTCACAGTCATCAAAAGAAACCAATCTTGCAGACACCTTGATTTTGGACTTCTAGGTTCCAGAATTGTGAAACAATACATTTCTGTTGTGTAAGTCACTCAGTTTCTGGTACTTTGTTACAGCAGCCTTAGCAAATAAATACTAGGGTTACATTTTTAAATTGGTATGTCTTTCTTTAGACATATTGTTCATTGACACTAACTTTGTCACTCTAAGTATTTGCTATAAGAACAGTTTCAGTGAAAAATTAATTTGAAGACATTGTTAATCTGATAAAGTTTCTAAAAAGTATTTGCCAGCACCTGTGTCTGTTCTTACTGACACCACACTATACTATATTAAACCTATTTAAGCATCTTCTTAATGTGGTTCTTTAGCTCCCATCAAGAGGCATTGAACAGATCAAGCCCTTGACTTCAGATTACCTCCTGCTTCTTAGCTGGGGCAGTTATATCAAATTAAATTTCTTATTTCCGAACACTCTGAGACACGCCTACACCAATTTTGCCTCTCTTATTACCTCATTCCCCCAAATACTCACTATGCCTTCACCTTTCCATTACCCATGAGATTGATTCCTAACCAGTCTTCCAGTTTAGTTTTTAGTTCCATTTGCATTCCTGAATTCTAAGCTCTACCTATTTTTGTCACTTTCTTCAGGTCACTACCTTGCTTCCTAATCTTGCCTTTTTTGCTCTACTTATGGTTTCTCACCCAATCTCCAGATTAATTGACCTTGACCTCAGGCAGGGATCCTCTGCTCTTTAGTAGACACCATTTGAATTATACAATGTAGGCTAAAGTTTTGTGAGTTGAAAGCAGTAATGGGGGTTTGTCAAACCTTAAACAAAAGGTTTGACAAACTCCCGTGGGAAAAGCCAATGAGACCTATGAAAGATAGTTAAAGTAATTAGAAACTGCTGCTCAAGCCTCAGGACTTTTAACTCTGAAGGGCAGTGAACAGGTCTAATTCATCTTTGTAATCTTGATAAATGCCTGAATAAAAGGAATGAGAGAATTTCAAAAAGATGAATATGAAGAAATATGGATGTAACTGTAGAGGCTTCTATTTACGTCACCCCCCTCCAACCCCCACCCCGGCACTCTTTCTCAATGGCTTTAAGGTATATGAAAGGATGAGACAGTAGGTCAGGATGAATAAGGAATTAAGAGAGACAGAAGAGGTAGCACAGTTGCAAGTACCAGCATTCTGAGTTTTGAACTAGGCCAATTGATCAGGGCCCCATTCAGAGAGGCTGTGTATTATACCTGCTAAAAGTATATGCCCTGGAGCTTCATAGGTAGAGCCTGATTTACGCTTTTGCTGCATTTAAGTTGTGTAACCTTGGAAAAATTACCAATCCTTTCTGACAGTTCCAACTTCTTAAAGTATGATGAAAAAACATTATTGACTTCATAGACCATGACAAGGATTAAATAAGTGTAACACATAAAACAGTGCCTGATACATAGTAAACACTCAAAAAATATTAGTTGTTCATGTGAACCATCTTTTTAAGTAAGAAAGATGTTAACAGTGATTATTCCTCTATAAGACTTCAAGTTTAAGGCTCAAAGTGCCAAGTGTATCCCTCCCACACACGAAGACTACCAACCAACAAAAACAACTTACTAATTCAACATATTTGTTTAAGTATCTTCTAATACTATTGCAAAACTGACAATGTTGAGTAAGAGTCTAGCAGATAATACAGATTTATGGCAGAAGTCACAAAGGATCGAGACCTCTGTGATTCACTCATTTATTTAGTCATTGTCTTTTATTTCATTCCTACATAATCTGAGGATAATCTGAGGATAATTCAAAAATCCCTATTCCATCCATCCATTTATCTAGAAAATCAGAAAAGCTAGCATCTCCACTTAAGATATCAAAATGCTTGTGGTAGTGACAACAAATATATAGTTTATTTCTAAAATAGCTCATCAGTTGAGAATTGTGCATTTAAGTATTAAATCCAGTGTTACTCAGCTAAACAAATATTGACATAATGTGTCATCACAATATGCTCTCAATAACAGCTTTTACATTGCTAATGAGTTTTGCCAGAAAATCAGAGATTTATGCCAAAAATTGGCTCTGCGTTTGTCAGCTAACCTTAGCCAGTGTTTTGTATGCAGTGACAAAATTACCAAAACATCCTCTATATAGCAAAGCAGACAATGGAGCCATAAACCTATTTTTCAAATGCTCGCAGTTCTGTCTGTTATAAATGTGTATTTACTAAAAGGGTCTATAGGTGTATTTATGGAGATTATTGAATGTTAAATATTCTCAAGCAAAGTGAGATCACAGAACTGTTCAACAGCAAGCTTGAGGACCCTTACAGAAGTATCCTTTCCTAATTTTTGAAAAATATTTCAATATAAATCTAAGAAAATGATAGTGAATGTAACGATCGGCGGGGTGGACTTTTTAATTATATGTACCTAGGAGCCAATCTCATTTTAACTTTGGACACATTAACCTAAATCTTGTCTTCCTTTAACAGTAAAAAGAAGTCAACATTAGTATTTTCTAAACATATTAAGAATTAAATCATGTATGTAAAGTGCATAGGACTGTGCCCAGTACTGTGCCCATGAAGAGAATGAGCCCTACTCATATTTCATCTCGTATTTAGCAATATCCATGATATAGCTAATTTTAATATACATTTGTGTAAAAGTGGGAGAATGTTTTTAATGTCTGAGACAGTAAACGCTTTACTACAAGAAATGGTAAGGAATATGAGTAAATTGGTTAATCAAATATTCTGGCTGAAGGAGTTATTTCATATGAGTCTCAAATAGTTGAAATTTTCAAAATTTTCCTTCTTTTATGTAGTCTTTCAGTTATAAAGTACTTAGAGTATCTATTATAGGCAAGGCATTTGGAAATCATTTGTCATCTTATGCTTTTATAAAATTTGTACATTAAATCAAATATTATAATTCTATATTTAACAACTGCTATAATAGAGGAATGTACAAATGCAATGGTTGTTAGACAGCTGATCACCTAACTGCGCTTGGGAGGAGTGAGGAAAGGCCCAAGGGCTTTTGAACTTGAAGAATGAGTCCTAGTTTTCCCAGGCGGACAAGTGGAGAAAGTAAAGGCATGAAGGCATAAGGACATGGCACATCAAGATACTATTCGTAGTTCAGGGTAGCTGCAGTGTGAACTGGAGAAGGAAACTGGAAGAGTAGTGCTAACAGATGATTCTGAACAAAGACCAGTTCACGAAGGGCCTCATATCGTGAAAAGTATAGATTTTTATTCAATAGGATTTTGACAAGTTGAACTACATGATCATCTCTCCACATCAAAAAGCTCAGTTCAACAAGTGTGAAAGATGAAATATATCCAAAGCTTTGATAACAGCATATAACAGAAGACAGGGGCTTTAATTAGACATTCGAGGTGGCTAGAAGATATATTTTTGCAAAAAGAATCAATAGAATTTTGATTCATTTGCTATGGTTAAGAAAAAATTTTAAAAAAACTAGTAAGTTCCAAATATTTGGCTTAGGCAATTTGGAGGATGAGGATAAGATTGGAGAGACTGAGCCTTTTGAGAATGTCTCTTTCAATTAAATAGCCTGGTTTAAATAATGATTTATCTCTAACGCTATCAGAGAGTAGTTCCATAATTTCTGTAGTGCAGAGCCTTATGAGTAACAGTCTAGTTGGAAAAGCAAGTTACTAGGGGACTAATCTTTGCAGCTGCAGGTGCAAGATACATAAAATTAAAAAAAAACGAACTGATGTGGTCAATACATATGGGGTCAGTCCTACTTCCATTATGCCAACCTATGTAGTAGCACCAGAATCATAATTATCTTTATTTGACTGGCTATTACTTAATGTCCTATATAATTTTACCATGTTTATACCATATATTCAGAAGTAATGCCATTTATGATCATGATACACATATTCAGTACTCTAAAATGAGAATTTAAGCCTTACACATTTCATTTACATTTTTAAAATATTCAACACAGACCTAGTATATTGTGAAAAAAGATACTGAAAAATTCTCCTAGTATAATGTGAAGAGTACCAAGGTCAAACAAGGAGTTGAATTTCAAATTATCAACCTCTTTAAGTTTCTTTTTCTGTAAAATGGGGATATTTTCACACTGTGAAGTGAAAGTATCAAAGTACTTGACATGAGATACTTAATACATTTTTTGGGTAAGCTACATATATAAATCACATATTTATATAAAAGGCATACATGTGTGAATTACATACATAAACCATAACATGCATATGTAAGTCATAGATATATGCACACGTATACATATATATATATGTAATTTGCAGTCTTATAAATAGCCTTGAGAATATTAATATGCACTCACCTAATTCATAGTATATTTAATGCTCCATTAAAGTATGTTAACGCTTCCAAGTCACAAATATTCAAGGTCCTTAGGTAAAAAGACATGGTAGATATTTTCGATATCTTAATTCAGAAAGAGGGGGCTTAAATGAAACTTTCTCCCCATTGACTTTCCTTTCAAATAACTAATCTTAAGAAATAAAATATTCAAAAAATCATTGGACTTTAAACACTTTAAAAGGCAGCTTTATTACTAGTGAGACAATTAACTAGCATCTTTGCATTTACTCAGATACTGGAGAACCAAGCAGTGATATGTGTACTTTCCAAGATTCTATAACATCTGCTAGTTCCTTTGACCCCTTAGACTTCATTTTGTTCACCTATAACATGAAAAAGTTGGCCTTATCATTCTCAAACCCAGCTACACAAAAGAGCTCACCAGGACTGCTCTTTGTAAAGAGATTCTTATACACTATTCCAGATTTAATAAATCTGAACTTTAGGAGTAGTTTGCAGAAATCTATTTTTAATTCCCTAAGTGATTTGGATAATCAGCCAGCTTTGGGACTAACTAGCCAAGACAATTATGATAAACTTTTTTTTCTTTCCTGAAATAGGACTGGCATTTGAAAGTATAGACTCATTCCATGACCTAATGGTTATTATTCACCTTTGCTCATTTTTTTTTTTTGCTGCATTTGTTATGAGCTGGCTCTATAGGTATTCTGATTAAAAGCTTTAATAATAAAAGTGTAGAAAACATGGCTTACGGTATAACAACGTATTTTCATAAGATACTGTCAATAATGCATTTAAACTAAATACTTCAAAATATTCCACACAAAGAACTTACATATCATGTTTACTTAACGAAATGTCTAGTTTTTTAAGAAAATGTTTTTAAGTACTACAATAAAAATTTCAAAACCAAAGAACAAATTACTTTGAAGTATAGGACATCATAAATTTATTTATTTAACACAGCAGGCAGATTTTGTGCTAGAAACAGAGTGGGGGGAAATCTAAATTAAACAAAAACTTCAGGGAATGGGTATTCATAAATTTCTGGTTAACTGAGGCTTCATATTGTTAAGGACCAGGGAGTCTTTGAGCATCAAATTTTGTTTATCAAAATAAAAACTTCCCCAAACATCATTAAGTATATTTTTCTACCTCAGCAAAGATTTTTCTCCCTTTACAATTCAGAACATTGCTGCTCATTTGTCAAATATATAAACAATATCTGGATAATTTCTTAAACTTAACTATCAATGTCCCCCTTCAGATGCTGATTTTGTTGCATTTCCTAATACTTTTTTCTCCAGTGAACCTAGAGCCTATGACAGGGAAGATACTGAAACATGCTAAGATAAAAATTGGTCTTAGAGATACTTTATTCGTGAATAATTCAGCAAGTACTTACTGAAAGCCTACTACCTTTCCAGGTCTAGAAAGAGCAAGGCAGACACAAGGCCTGCCTCCATAAAGCTCACCATCTAGAATACAGCAAATCGAGCATGGGTTCTGAACCACCATGAGCTGTCATTTCATTTTTAAAGATTTACATAGATACTGATCTCTGTAAGGACATATAAAATCACCCCTTACACATATACACATATCACTTTTTAGATTCTCATAAAGGGAATTTTGAAATCTGTACATTGACAAGGACTATGCTTTTTCCAAATGCCTTCTGCTCTTTATTACAATATAGCCTATTTTCTTTTCCTTCAATTCTCCCCACATAGCCTCTGCACTTCTGCCTATCCTGCTGGCTTTTTCCGTGACACTTTGCTACAGCTTTCTGTTCCCTTTCTTTCCTTTCCTCCTTACTAGAAACGTGATAATCTGGGCTTCTCCATCTTCCCTTAACTGGCTTCTTATTCATCTGACTAATCTCCACACTTCCTAAATGTTTGACTTCAGTGAGTATAATTAATCAGCATTTCCAATTAGCATTTTCTTGAGCTTTGCTGTGAACTTCAGATCTTCTTTACAATACTCTCTTCCTGAATGCTATTTAGAAATATTATCCTCAGAAAGACAATGTTTGTTGAGGATTCCTGTTTTAAAAGCTCTACTAAGAGACTAAAAAGGGAATGCATAACTCAGCAAAGGATGCTTCTACTTTAATTTCAGTTCTTACCATTACAACTATTGGATTCTGCAAGATTATAGTTAAAACTGTAGGATAGCAATTTTACACATAAGGGCTATATCAAAAAATTCAGTTTTTGGCTCTTCGATAATTCAATCAAAATTCATACGAACACATGAATCTTGAAACTTAAAAAAAACCTAAATGATAAAAAGTTAAGACAGTTGAGTATTCAATTACATGTTTACATCCTTTATCAAAAATGACATATAATTCAGTATTCAACTATTTTTGAGTCTGCAAGTCAGATGCTGTCAAGCAAACTGCCATGGATGATCGATAATCATTTTAAAATTTTTAACTCAAAGACAAATTAGGAAGATTCAATAAATTTTAATTTTCCAAATGTTCTCAGAATTATTAGAAGCATCCTCCAGTAATAAAACACAGTTGGATAATCCATTTAATCCCAATGAACTAGCTCCATGTGCTGTGAGGTAGCAATGAAAGAAAGACTAAGATCCTGTGTCCTCCTCAATGCATAAGCACTCCCCCTTCACATGCAGAGTGGGTATAACAAGAAGAGGCAGAGACTTTTTTGGCTCCTTCATTATTTCATCAACTATTGATGTTTTCATAGTATTTTAAATGCCTGATTTCAGTTTTACAACAATATCAAGATTTATTCTGAAAAATAATCCTATGTTCCGAGCAGCAGATATTAACAACTTCCAACACGATCTCTAGGAATAATTCGCAGTTCTGAACCATGCTTTAGAAAAACATTTCCTACACAAACAAACAAAACATAAAGTTAGGTATTTACAAAACAACAAGTTATCTTAACAGTGCAACAATTAGACACAATATAGTAGAATAAAGTAAGTAGGTACAAAAGCACAAACATCAGAACTTAATTCCATGCTGTTTAAGACTTGTTTTTATTCCACTCACATCTTCATAACCCAACTATATGCCTGAAGTTTTAAATAAGAATATTAAGCCACAAAATGCTAACAAATATACTCAGCAAATAACAATGTAAATCAATTTAACCATCAATATTTGCTTAAATATACCAATACCAAAGGACAGAAATAATAATTAATCTAAATTATCACAAGTGACAAAAGTTTAGACACTCTGACCTATTTTGATTCAATTGACAGAATTTTACTTTATGTCCCATGATGTGCACATTTCAACTTTTAAGAGTAACACAACAGGCAATGTGTTAAAATAAGCACTAATTCAAACTAACATAAACTGCTAAACATTTCTAGAGTAAAAACAAAAGCTTTTAAACCTAAGTTTAAAGGCATCTATCTATATAATGAAATGCCTCATGATCTTCAATGAATAACATTTTTAATTTAATAAAATTAAATACTGATGATTTAAGTTTTAAAAAATTTACAATTTTGAATCCCTCTCCATTTTCTATATGGCTTAATTTCAATCCCAAGATCTATGAGGCTAATATAATTTTATTATAAAACAGAAGTACTTTAAACATAATTTAAACATAAATACTGTTCAAAATTGAGGTTAACATTATATTCAAACATGCTTAATTTCAAAAGATTATAATTAGATTATAAGCCTAAAAGGGTACATCTGAAAAAAACTATCTGTTAAAAAGTTTAAGATTACTTTTACCCTGCCTTTTTGTTAGGACATCAACATACAGCACTGTATAATATTAGGTTAGCTCTGAGTGTGGACTAAGCCCTTTGAAGTTTAAATGAGTACTTCTTTAAAATAATAATATTGTTAGCAATTATTGAATGCTTACTATGGATAATGCAAACTTTTAAGCTTTTTACATGTACCACCTCACAAACATCTAATGAGGTAGGTCAAAACCATTATTCCAATAAAGGTACAATCTTATCTTCAGACTTTTTGTTATGATTATTAATTAAAAATCTTTAACACTTATTAGTCCAGTTTTCTTTCTGTAGCCAAAAGCATGCATAATTGATACATATAATGAAACAAATTATTATTCAGAGACATAGGTAAATAATGCTACAAAATCCCTAAAAAATAGCTATTATCCTGTTAAAATTCTATCCGGTTCAATTAGAATTAAGTATTTAGTTCGACTGACATATACAGCCTCACCCACATTTCCATGAGTTTTAGACAGATACTCACCAGCAGTCTGTGCAGGATTTATTCCTATTCCATCTAGAAAATAAATTATAAAATCGTCTAAGTTATTTCTTAAGCTAAAATGGTTTACTAGTAACAAGAGACTGGCCTAAATAGGGCTACTGTGAAATAGGCACAAGTTAAACAACTTAAATCTAAGAACATGAACAAATGGCAATCATTTGGGCAAATTATCTGCTGAAGTCTGTTACTATTGTACATTCACATCCACTGCCAGATTAGATAAGAACATCTGTCAATGCAATAATCCTGATACAGCCTACAGAAGATAGTATTTTATTATGTCATACATAGTGAAAAACATAACCAAGAGCACTTTACATATGTCATTAATCATTTACATATTGCTCCATTGTATAAAAATCTTAAGGCCAGGAGAGCCTGGTCATATAATTCAAGTTTCACTGACACTTCATAAGAAGTTTACAAAGCACGTTCCTAACAGCTATTCATTTGTGAATTTAAAACTTTCTAGAATGTAGGCTAGTTTTCTTCTAGAGAAAAACTTCGATGTGACAGAATGCATAATGTTTTAGTGTAAGAAACTGTCATATCTAAACTATATCATGCTACTGCACATTAAATCCATCTTCTCAATCTATCCTAACTGTGCAGGAACCACTCACTAGCGCCCATAAATATTACTCTGTATTCCTGAAAAACAGTTAAGCCCTCACTGCCATCTTACTCCTCATCTTATTTCGTTATTTTCTCATATAGCTAGTTCCATCAAACTTAACAGTCGTATTTTAAGATATTCAGAATTTAAATTATATACCTAATTGAGTAAAATCCTCATTAGTGCAAGCATATAAGAAATAGTTTTCATCAAG